GATTCGAACCTGCCACCTTAGGTGTATGTGGCTGGCACGTTAGCCACTTGAGCCACAGGTGCTGAGCCGATAATTGACTTTTGAGTGAATTGACATTCTTAAATCAAATTAGGTTGTGATGTGGTTTGGGCAAAAGGTGTTGAGTCTCTTGATGAATGTATCAAGTATTACTCAAGTACTAACACCAAATTACTGGATAATTAATATCAAATCAGTTACTGGGCATGGCAGCAAATTTTTTTTTTTTGAGCCACAAGCTGTCATCCTGGGTAGAGTGCTGTGGCATCACAGCTCACAGCAACCTCCAACTCTTGGGCTTAAGTGATTCTTTTGCATCAGTCTTCCAGGTAGCTAGGACTACAGGCACCCACCACAACACCCGCCAATTTATTTATTTGGCTGTAGCTGTCATTGTTGTTTGGCAGGCCCTGACTGGGTTCAACCCACCAGCTCTAGTGTATGTGGCTCGCTCCCTAGCCGTCTGAGCTATAGGTGCCAAGTCTCTGTTTTTTTGAGACAGAGTGTCACTTGGCTGTGGCATCATAACTCATAGCAACCTCAAACTCTTGGGCTCAAGTGATCCTCTTGCCTCAGACTCCAGAGTAGCTGGGACTATAGGTGCCCGCCTCAATGCCCGGCTATTTTTAGAGGGCGTCTTTTTTTGCTCAGGCTGGTCTCAAACTCGTGAGCTCAAGCAATCCACCCGCCTCAGCCTCCTAGAGTGCCTGTTGTCCTCACTTCTCAGGAGGCTGAGCTGGGAAGATCACTTGATCCCAGGAGTTCAAGTGAGCTGCAATCACACCACTGCACACTAGCCTGAATGACAGAGTGAGAGATGATCTCTTATAAGAGGCTCAGTGCCTGTAGGTCAGCAGCTAGGGCGTCAGCCACATACACTGGAGCTGGCAGCATGGAATCCAGCCTGGGCCTGGCAAACAACAATGACAACTACAACCGAAAAATAGCCAGGCGTTGTGGTGGGCGCTTGTGGTCCCAGCTGCTTGGGAGGCTGAGGCAAGAGAATCACTTAAGCCCAAGAGTTTGAGGTTGCTGTGAGCTGTGATGCCACAACACTTTACCCAGGGCAACAGCTTGAGACTCTGTCTCAAAAAAGAAAGAAAGAGAGAGAGAGAGAGAGAGAAAAAAAATATTAAAGTATAAGTAAATGCCAAACTGATGATGGGTGGACTATTGTATGTACTGTATTAACTTGGTTAAGTTAGAATTGTTTCCCAGAAATTTTTTTCTCCCTGTGTTAAAGTTGACACAAAGAGGAATTTGTGTAATATTTGGAAGACATGATTTTTTGTAGGAGCCATTACTCTGTGAAGGCCATCCTGTTTAGATGTGGTAAAAACTACAGAGAGACTAGGGGCTTGCAAATGATCCTCACTCCTCTGCCCTGTGTCCAGTTCTTCCCTGTGCCTAGTTCTTCCTCCCAACTTCTGGTCCTGTTGGCAAACAGTGGCCTGGGACCTACCGGATGCCTGGCAACACACTGCCAAAGGCATTTGCTCCACAGAGGCACAGCCTCCCACAGGTCTTTCCTCCCCAGTTTCATTCTGGGTGCTGGACAAAGTGGCTTCTCAGATAAACTGGTGACTCCTCTGATTCTTTAATTTCTTTCCTGAACCTTCACTTCCTCAGTTCATCTTACAGTTGTGTAAAATGTAGTAAGTCTTATAATAAATCTTTTATCCCATACCTGATAGTGGTTCCTCCCTCATGGAACCTTGACTGGTAGAAAGAGGAAAGTTTGGGTGGAATTTGAGCCTGTTTCACCAGTTCCTGAGACCCACGTACAGCCTTGCGCTTCCTGTATTTAGTTGTTCAAATGTTAGTCGAATTCCGTTTATGAAACAAACATTTTTTCCTTAAGCCAATTTTAATTGATTTTCAGGTATTTGTAATCAAAAGAACTGCAGTTAACACACTATGGCAATGTTAATTATGGGTCTCTTACATTTTTGAATGCCTGTGTGTTGCAAACTGTCTTTTTAAGGATATGTATGTAGCAAGCAACTTTTGAAGACAGAGATAGTAGCTCCCTCTGGTGCAAAGGACAGCGTGCTTTGCTGTCTGTTTAAAACTATTTGGTCCCTTAAACTCTTTCCTATGATACAACCCACTGTTTGTACAGGCATCAGTTGGCTCACTTCACACTGTCCTCAGGAAACAATGCAAAAATGACGATACTTTGGCTACTGCTATTCCTATAAATAATTTCTAAATAATAAATTATCCTTCGTGTCTAACACAAGGGACGAAACTGTTATGGGCTAAGTTGTCAGCTTACACACTGAAATCTCAGATCCTTCACAGTTCATGAGAATAAGATTATTTTATTTTTTTTCTTTTTTAAGAGACAGAGTCTCACTTTGTTGCCCTTGGTGTCACAGCTTACAGCAACCTTAAACTCTTGGACTTAAGCAACCTCTTGCTTCAGCTTCCCGAGTAGCTGGGACAACAGGTGTGCTCCACCACACCCAGCTAATTTTTCTATTTTTAGTGGAGATAGGGTCTCACTCTTGGTCACGCTGGTCTCAAACTCCTGAGCTCCAGCAATCCCCCTGCCTCAGCCTCCCAGAGTGCTAGGATTATAGGTGTGAGCCACTGCATCTGGTCTGGAGTAACATTTTAATATACAAGTAAATGTGTTAGTTTTTAAAGAAATAATTCAATTTATTATATCATTATAGTAACAATTACTTTATATGCAAAAGTCTCTATTTTTCATTTGTAATATAAATAAGACTTTGGTCAGGATGCTTTGGTTGTAGTAAAAAGAAAACGAAACTCTAGTTTATGCCAAGAGGAGAATTTATTATACAATTACAAGGGTACCTTAACAAAGCCAAGAACAACAGATAAAGTCAGGCCTCAGGGATGGTGGCCAGTAACAGAAATCAAATCTTGATAGCTTAAGCAAAAAAGAGAGTTTATAATTAGGATACAGGAATACAAGTCAAGGGAAGGGATTATAGCAGGTTTCACAAAAGGCTGGAATGCAGCACTGTTAGAAAGGCAGGAATCACACTCTCCTAATCTCTCATGTCCACTTTTTACGCAAATGTTTCATTGCTCTCTCACTGCGGATTTGCTGTTTTTACCTCCTAAGCCACGTGGTGGGACCTGGCAATCCACACATCCCAGTTTACGTTTCTTCCATTCCAGAGACTGGTCAGACCAAAGCTAGAATCTCTCGCCTCCAACTCCGAATTCATAGGAAGTTTGAGGACCTTCACCAATTAGAAATAACTCCCTTCTATGGGATAAGCGGGAAGTTGGAAGTTTCAGGTCACTAAGAGACAGAGGCCAATTAACTTTTTTTGTTATTGCTGTTTCTTATAGAGCTTGTGGTGAAATAGCTTACTCAGCTCATAGCATACTGTGTAGAAATGACCAAGTGTTTCAAAAGAAAGAGGTATTTTAGCTTCTTTTATTAGTAGTAGTTCCCTTGGGACAAAAAGAATAGGCTTGGATGATGCTATTATCTTGAGACAAATTTCTTTTTTTTTTTTTTTTTT